ATGTGCAGCTCGCCGAGCATGCAGAACGTGCTCAACGTGCTCGGTGGCAACAAGAACCCGACTGTCTACCTCCCGCTGCTCCGCCAGATCGGGATCAAGGTCGACGCCATTGGCCCCGAAGCAGACCCGAATCTTCTGGCTGCGCAGGGCAAGAAGCATGGCCCCGATGGGCGCATCGAGGTCGACAACACATTGGAGCTTCCATGACGCAAGCTGTGACTGTGCGCCCCGTTCAGGGGCGTTTGATCTTGATGCCCGAAAGGGATTTCCAGCCCGTGCCCGCTGAGGGCGTGCTGGTCGAGCGCAACGCGTTCTATGCGCGTGCAATCAAGCAGGGCGATCTCGAAGTCGTGCCGGATGCTCCGGCCGCGACGCCGGTCCCCGCCGTTTAAACCGAACTAATTGAGGGGCTAGATGCCTATCCAGTTCAACCAAATCCCCGGCAACATCCGGGTCCCCTTCGTTCGCTTCGAAGTGAACGCGGGGCAGGCTCCGTACTCTTCGATCCAGCGCCTTGTGCTGATCGGTCAGAAGACCGCTGCGGGCTCCGCCGTCGCCGACGAACCGCTGCTCGTCACCCAGAACGAAGACGCGTTCTTCGGTACCGGCTCGATGCTGGCGGCGATGTATAAGATCGCCCGCGCGAATGCTCCGCTTCAGGAGATTTGGGCGATCCCGCTGGCAGACGCCACGGGCGGCGCGACCGCCGCGACTGGTAGCGTGACGGTCTCGACCGCCCCGACTTCTTCGGTCAGCATCGTGCTCTACATCGGCGGTTACCGCATCTCCGTGCCGGTCAACGCGCTGATGACCTCGGCGAACTGTGCCACCGCAATCGCTGCGGCGATCAACGCGTGCCCCGGTATCGTCGTGTCCGCTGCGGTCGACGGCACCACCGCGTCGAAGGTGAACATCACCGCTCTGAACAAGGGCAGTCTCGGCAACGGCATTCGCATCGAGACCAATCTGAATGCTGGCGACGGCAACGCCGCTGACGTTCTGACCACGATTGTCCAGCTC